GTGACATGTTTTCCCTCTGGTTTTGATCTCACAGTCCTGGTTGCATGGTATTACCCCATCTTTAGTAACACCATATCTCTGTGCTGTTTTCCTGTCCTGGTAATATACTATCACACTGAATTTGGTAACATAGCATTACTGTACCTTTAGTAGTAAGGCATCTCTCTGGTGTGACTTATGTCCTAGTTATATAGTATTACTCTAACTTTGATAGGATGACGTAACTCTTATTTACTCTCCCTTCAGGGACATGGCATGACAATAGTAACATGGAGTCTAGTGTAAGATAGAATTACACTGGTAAGATTACCTGGCAATATTGGCACTTTAGTAACCTTACAGTGATGGCTTATTGGCTTAATATATGATTGAATCTGGAGACTCAGCAACATTCAGATTTTGTTTTACCTCAAATTTTTCATGTAACACATGCTGGATTTTTGCTGGGTCCCCTAGGCTCTGCACAACCAGGCAACGCGCATTTTCCACACGTTTTCTCAGAGTCATTAAAACAGTCCTTGAGCTTGTTTTTGCTGTTTTTGTTAGGGGTTAACAATTTCGATGGGGTCTAGGGGTATATGGGATGCCCAAGGAACTGCAGACCTTTGCAGACAACAAAAATTTACAAAAATGTGGACCAGAATCAGCTACAGTCTTAGTAAGGAGCACTCAGTCCCCTATGGTGAACCTCCTCAGACCTCAGATTAAACTCTCCTCATCTACCCAGCTGTCTTGAGGGTATCCCTGGGCAAGGGAATCCAAGATCTACCATGGAGTAGTCCCAGATGAGAACTAGTTGGTTATTGCACCTGACCGTCCTCTCCCTCCTGTGGCCCAAAGGATATAGAAGTACTCACACGGTCCTGTCCTGTAGTTCAATGGGTTGCAGATGCTTTCAGGCCTTACACTGGGCTGGCTCCTACCCTGCTGACAGGCTGTCTCTCCGTAGTAGATTGCAGGGCAGTGGAGATCCTTCTGTCCAGCTCCAGCCTGTAGGTAGGCTCCCCTCTGCTGGGCCCCCCTCCCAGGCTCCACACACCAGCACCTTCCTTCAATCCATCTTCCACTCGACTCTCCTGCTATTCATACTCTCTTACAATTTTGGGTTGTCCTAAGCATTATGCCAAGCCAAGTCCTCCCTTCCTCCTCCCCTTTTCTAGAAAGGTCCAGCGGTTTCTAGAAGTGTGGGACCTGTAGAGCCTTCCAGCTTGCCCTGAGGTAACCTCACTGCCTCACTTTCAGGCTGACTCATCCCAGGCTTATAACAAGCCACTGACTAACCAAAAAAATCCTATCTACCTAGAGAGTACTGCATCAGCATTCATAAATTATATTATTATCCCCACCATATACTGTATTTAGGGTAATAAATGATTGTAAGTGTGACTACTCACTTGATTTGTTAATCCATTCACTCATAGCTACTTTTTTTGAATGGCATTCTTCTGCCACTATCCTCATATCATAGCCCCGCATGCTAAGCTTTTGTTCCATTATTACCGGTACATCATACGGGGCCAACTTTTTCAGGTCCTGTCCTCATTTTAAGCTGCTACTGATGTTCATTGTGGCAAACATGCTCCCCTGAATTTAGCTTTTATTTAATTTTAATCCAAACCAAAGGAGTTAAAATTTCTCTCTCTATTGCCCAAAAATTAAGGGAAATACTAACTCTGATATTGATCACTGGAACAAGTGAGTAGAAGAAATCCCCTCTGACCCTGTTCTGACAACACCTCTGCCCCAGTTCTGACAATTGTATAATTCTAAATTGTGTGTCATTTTCCCTTCTGGTGACAATGGTTCTCAGTAAAAATGGGGTAAATGTTCCCAATGGGGCACACAGTCAGCAATAAAATCTTAAAGAGATTTTAGACCCTTACCCAATCTATCAAAATCTAAAAAAAAAAAAAAAAAAAAGTTTTGGTTTTTGATATATTGTAGTGCTGTTCTTATTGGGTGACCTATTGTGGGTGACATGTTACTAACAGATAGTTTAGGACTTGAAGTTAAAGTGATTTTCTTTAAAATAACAAACATGTTATACTTACTTGCTCTGTGCAATGGTTTCACACAGAGCAGCTCTGATCCTCCTCTTCTTGGGTCCCCCGCTGGCGTTCCTGACCCCTCCACCTGCTGTATCTAAGCCAATGAGAGAGAAGAGGGAGAGAGAGGAGAGAAAGGAAGGAGCTGGGGGGGGGGAGAGGGAAGTTGCATGCAGAAGGTTTTTTACCTTTATGCATAGAATGTATGAAGGTAAAAACCTTCTGCCTTTACAACCACTTTAAACTAAGGCTAGGATGAGATGTTGACACAATAAATTCCACCCATCACTGAATTTTCTGTGTGCACAAAGTATACATGATTATTTTTATCACTAATTCTGCCTAGCATCATGGAGACCCTGTGGCAATGGTAAACAATGGCCTGGAAATATTGTGTGGGAGTTTGATTTCATAACATTGATTTACTTTGTGTAAATCCACAAAGCTGATGAATATTATCTGTGAAATCAGAGATGAAACGTGTATGAAATTTGAAGTATGTGGATTCCACCCAAGAAATCCATGTGCTAAACCTGGGTCAGATCTTTCCAGCATCCCACCAATGATAAAAAGCAGCATTTCACTGTGGAGTCGCAAGAAATGTCATGTGAAAGTTAAGTGTTCTTTCCCTCCATCTATTTCCTTTATTTTCCCATGCTGGGAATAATTTACTGGATTGTATAATCCCCAAAGACATCTAAGGGCTTGCTGATTTGAGAGTCCTTTCTTGTTGCATAAAAAACGTTTTTAAAGGATTTTTTCAATTTCATTAAGAAAGTATTAGGCCTCCTGTGTAAATTAGATTAGATTGTCTTTGTGGTTGGACCGATATCAATAATATGTTTTCTGCTAAGGGGCTTCAATTCTGCCAAAGCACTTGGTACCGATCAGAGCTTACAGCAGATCAAACCTCAGAAAACCAACATGAAACCAATGATTTCAGAGACTGGAGCAGCATCATAAACATGATTCAGACCCCTCAGGACATCCATGATCATAGATATTTGTTGTTAAACATTTCCATATAACTTAGGTTCCTGGCACTCAACTTGTGGCATGAGGGCAGTATTCATTTCCTGTTGAATGACTTTTGTACCCCAGCAGTCAGTAGTGGGAGCACTGATTTCTGAAGAGCAATGTTCTCTAGCAGTCTCCCAAAATATCCAAACTAATTTCTAGTATAATGATTTGCCAGTCTTTTTCTTCTGCTTTCAAGAAAATTATCTAAAAATCTGGCCCAGGCAATTCCAATTATTGGGTGACCAGATTGCCTTTCGATGGACAGTGGCAGCATTGTCACAACTCAACTGGAAAATGCTGGATATTTTGAAGTCTAAAATGCCCTTGTTTACTATCTCTACAGACCAGTTGTATGTATCAAACCTACACATATTTTGGGACCCTGTACTATTGATTATACAAAATTTTTTAAGATTTCTGTCAATTTCTCTGATTATTGTAAAAATATATGGAGAGTAATTTTAAAAACGAACTACTATATGCAAACAAAAAAAAAAAAAAAAAAATGACAAAAGTGGTATAAAACAATTTTCCTAAACAAAGCAGTTAAAGCAGAACTAAACTGTATCACAAACTGAAAACACAATTTAATACATTTTTAATATTCAAAGTATATTCACCTATCCATCTATGTCTATGTAGCACTACCCCCGAAGGAGCCTCTGGTTAAGCTGGGTCCTCTGTTCCTGACCTCAACCTTCTCAAATACCTCAAATCCTCTGACACAACCAATGTACAACACACAGGGGAAGTCCATAAGATGTTTCTTCTGCCAGCTATCATTGGGACCCTTCAAGAACATTGGTGCACATAACGACAGTCCTGAAGAACCTGCAAATACACAACCTCATCAAGATCCATCCTTCCCAGCAACAAGCCAAGATGGCTTCCCTGTGCAGCCACTTCTGGTCAGGATTGGGCTTGGTGTAATGTCAGAGCTCCAGGGTATGACCAGAGGTATGTGAACTGACGCAGGGAAACGCAGGCTTCAGATAAGTTAAAAACAATATAATTTATTAAAGACTAACAATACAACATAAACGCAGTGCAATAGTAACACAAAACACAGTGCAAACGAACCAAACCAAACCACCCACAGATAACAGTACATACAATGCAAGCGTCGTCAGGCAGGCCGGGTCAATAACAATCGGGTAGGTAGGTACAGGGGGTCAGGCAGAGAATGGTCGGGGTCACAAGCCAGGGATAAAACAGGAGAAGTCAGCAGAGGTCCGGATCAGGCAGGGTCAGCAACGAATCAGACAGAGACAGGGACAGGGACAGGAACAGGAACAGGAATGCAGGAACAAGATACAGGGCCCAGGAAAACCACACACCAAGCAGAGACTGCAGGTCTGGTCATCCCTTAAATACACCTGCATAATCAACTTCAGGTGTTTGGCTGGCTGCAGGGTTGAGTCTCTGATTGCTGGGAGCACCCGCTGGCCAGCCCTGGTACTGCAGCCCACAAGGCAGGTGAGTCCCACCATTACTGGCAAGTCTATTCCTGACAGTACCCCCCCCCCCTCAAGGAGCGGCCTCAGGACGCTCCAAACAGTCCTAGCTGGGCAAAATGTTCCACCGCCCGGGTCTGGTAACTGGCGGGATATCAAAGACTGGCACATCGGGCAGGACTCCGGGCAGCGGCACACCGGGCAGGACTCTGGGAAGGACTCCGGGCAGAGGCACATCGGGCAGGACTCCGGGCAGAGGCACACCGGGCAGGACTCTGGGCAGCGGCACACCGGGCAGGACTCCGGGCAGCGGCACATCGAGCTGGACACCGGGCAGCGGCACATCGGGCAGGACTCCGGGCAGCGGCACACCGGGCAGGACTCCGGGCAGCGGCACATCGAGCTGGACACCGGGCAGCGGCACATCGGGCAGGACTCCGGGCAGTGGCACATGGAGCTGGACTCCGGGCAGCGGCACATCGAGCTGGACCCCGGGCAGAGGCACATCGAGCTGGACACCGGGCAGAGGCACATCGAGCTGGACACCGGATCACCAGGCGGAGCGGCAGGCACCGGGCCACCAGGCGGAGCAGCAGGCACCGGGCCACCAGGAGGGGGCAGGACAGGCAGCGGCGGGTGCCGGGCCCCCAGGCGGAGCGGCGGGCACCGGGCCCCCAGCAGGGGCAGCAGGCACCGGGCCCCCAGGCGGAGCAGCGGGCACCGGGCCCCCAGGCGGAGCGGCGGGCACCGGGTCATCAGGCACGACAACGGGCATCGGGTCACCATCTGGCAAGGCAGTGGGCACCGAGTCACCAGGCACGACAGTGGGTTCCGAGTCAACTGGCATGACCACGGGCACTGGGTCAGACATTGGATCGTCTGGCTCGACAGCGGGCATCGGGTCACCAGGCATCAGGTCATTTGGCTCGACAGCGGGCACCGCGTCATCTGGCAAGGCAGTGGGCACCGAGTCACCAGGCACGACAGTGGGTTCTGAGTCAATTGGCACGACAGCGGGCACAGGGTCGTCTGGATCGATAGCGGCATCGAGTCAACTGGCCTAGTGGAATCATCAGGCTGGATCAGTTCATCAGGCTGGGTAGAAACATCATGCTGGGTGGAGGCATCAGGCTGAATGGAGGCATCAGGCTGGGTGGAGGCATCAGGCTGGGTGGAGGCATCAGGCTGAATAGAGGCATCAGGCTGGGTAGAGGCATCAGGCTGAATAGAGGCATCAGGCTGGGTAGAGGCATCAGGCTGGGTAGAGGCATCAGGCTGGGTGGAGGCATCAGGCTGAATAGAGGCATCAGGCTGAATAGAGGCATCAGGCTGGGTGGAGGCATCAGGCTGAATAGAGGCATCAGGCTGAATAGAGGCATCAGGCTGGGTAGAGGCATCAGGCTGAATAGAGGCATCAGGCTGGGTAGAGGCATCAGGCTGGGTAGAGGCATCAGGCTGGGTAGAGGCATCAGGCTGAAATTAAGGGCGCCGAGGCACCAGGCTGCACCACGGAAGGCAGGTTCTCAGATGGGAGGCTGACCGGTTTGGATACTGGCAGGATGGTATTGGTTGGAAAGAACTTTCGCCTTTTCCTGGTTTTAGTTACCGGAGCACTGTAAGTAAGCGCAGGTTTGTAAACGGATGGAGCAGCTGGAGACAGAGAAGAGCTGGAGGATGGAACAGAGGAGGGAACAGTTGCTACAGAGGGCTTCTTTACAGGGTTAAAGGCAGGATAGGTGCAGCGAGTGGGAACAGGGTACTGACATGCGGTAGATAGCAGGGTATACTGGGCTGTAACTGGAGGTGCTGTTGGGAATGCAGGAATAGAGCTTTGAAGAAATAGATTAGAAGCAGGACTGGGTTTTTGCAAGCTGACTGAGGCTGGGTGTAACAAGTCTGACCATGTCTGCAGTACGGGTTGAACAAAGCTCAGCTTACACAAAGCCTGTCTGACCAAAGACTGCACTGCGTTTATACAATCCCTTAATACCTGTGGTGAACATGCAGCATAATGCTCCAAGAAGCAATCCACATCATCCTCTAATAACCATACCAGGGACTCTACCTGGTCTGCACTAAATGGTGGCAAAAAGTCATTCCTGCTTTCAGGGGTACCAGATGAAGCCAACCGTACACAAACCTGAATCAAAGGTTGCACCTCAGAGAACTCTGTGCCCTGATCTACTAGAACATGAGCGATCCGTATACATTCTAGCAGTTGATCCCGGGTATACTCCCTCAGAGCCTGATAAGCATATTCTCTGTCATCAAAAACCAGCAGGACAAATACACAACCTCATCAAGATCCATCCTTCCCAGCAACAAGCCAAGATGGCTTCCCTGTGCAGCCACTTCTGGTCAGGATTGGGCTTGGTGTAATGTCAGAGCTCCAGGGTATGACCAGAGGTATGTGAACTGACGCAGGGAAACGCAGGCTTCAGATATGTTATAAACAATATAATTTATTAAAGACTAACAATACAACATAAACGCAGTGCAATACTAAAACATAACACAGTGCAAACGAACCAAACTACCCACAGATAACAGTACATACAATGCAAGCGTCGTCAGGCAGGCCGGGTCAATAACAATCGGGAAGGTAGGTACAGGGGGTCAGGCAGAGAATGGTCGGGGTCACAAGCCAGGGATAAAACAGGAGAAGTCAGCAGAGGTCCGGATCAGGCAGGGTCAGCAACGAATCAGACAGGGACAGGAACAGGAATGCAGGAACAAGATATAGGGCCCAGGAAAACCACACACCAAGGCAGAGACTGCAGGTCTGGCCATCCCTTAAATACACCTGCATGATCAACTTCAGGTGTTTGGCTGGCTGCAGGGTTGAGTCTCTGATTGCTGGGAGCACCCGCTGGCCAGCCCTGGTACTGCAGCCCACAAGGCAGGTGAGTCCCACCATTACTAGCAAGTCCATTCCTGACACTGCATGTCGGTAATGTAACATGTAGAAATTAGTCTCTTGAACCGATGGAAAGTAGATGCGGGCAACAGTGATATAGATGCACGGTATAGAACTAGAATGGGTGCAATGTAAATCAAGTCTGCTAGGGAAGTCAGACAAGGCTAGGTGGTACAACCCATGAGAAGTGTAATTAGCATCCTGCCCTCCGTAACACAGTCTCTGCCAGCAGTAATAACACCAGGCCAACAGCCCTCGCACCAAACCTGGAACTCTTGGTGAAAGGGGGCCCTCTTAAGTTCTCCTCAAGGCTTCCAATGAATAGCAATGGTAGCCAGTGGCAGTAAGCATGCCAACTTCCTTGTGGCAATGGTCCGGTTTTGGATAGTGTGATGGATGCTGTGCTGCAGCAGACATTCTCAACTGAAAGTCACAGGACCCAAAGCTTACAGTCCAGGCTCCTGTAGACAGGAGCTAATACACAGAGGTCCTCTCTCTCTCTTTCTCCTGGCACTTAAAACAGTCCTGAACTTTCCCAGGTAGTATTCTAAAAATCTTTCCCTCACTCCTGGGTCCCAAATTTTGTGGTTTTGCAGCCATCCCTTTGCAATTCAGCAGTCCTCCTCTGAACTACACTTCCCAGTGTGCAATGCAGCAGTCGAGGTCCTCTCCATCTTGCTGCTCATTGGCTCCTGCTGCTACTAGGAGAGAGGGGGGTGAGCAGAGGAATCCACACAGAACCCACTCGGCTCACGACATGCACAATGGGGAGAAGAAATGAGAGAGAGAGGGCAAGGAAACACATATACACAGCCCACAGCTCTCTGTTACCGAGCTTCTCCAACGTTGTGAGCTGGGCGGGCGGAGGCGGGAACCATAGCAAACGGCAGAAGGCTACATCTACATGCTTTAATCAATTTGAAAAACACCCCATAGCACTTCTAGCTGCAGCCATCTTGAGTAAGGGACAAATGATTCATGTAGGATTCACTTTCTGGAATCCATCTGCACTTAGCTCAGGCATGCAGGCAGGAGGGTGTGCTTAGCTGAGAAAGACCCTCCTTCCCTCCCCCAGATGAAGAATCCTGGAATGTATGACATCATTTTGGTCAAGGCAATAATCCAGAAAGTACATGAAGATATGTATCTATGCTTCTGATAGCAGAAGCAAACATTTTGCATTGACAGTGAATTGTGCGCTGACCACAGACATAAATTGAGGCTGTACTGTATGTATGTTATATAAAATCAGCCAGTTAAACTGTGCCTGGCACGAAGGTAAGCCTATACAAAAGCTTGCCAGGAAACCAATGCAAATGTGATCATCTACAGATCTTGCATGGTAGAATTCTGATATTTCTGGCATTACCACTATTATTACATCAGATATTTACTCGTGATGTATTTATTAATTGGTTCTTGGCTCTGTGTACTGATAATTAGCACTATTAAATATCCATTTATCCTGTAATCATTTTATTTTACCATCAGATATGGCTTCACTCATCAAACTGCACATTTGTCTAATGAAATAAAACAAAACATTTGTGTTTATAAAAGTTGATTTTAATAACTGTGCTCAGTAAGTACTATAAAAAAAAACATTTATTGAGCGCTGAGCTAATTGATTTCATAAAGCGCTCTTGGCTTGTATCTGTCATGTGTTATGCTTGGCATAATATTCTGTTTATGAAAACCTTTTAGGTTTTAACACATACTGTATATAATATGTGGTTTGAAGGATAACTATTCTTGGTTTGGAATTTATGCTTCAATCAGAACTCCAGCCAAAAATAACAATACAAAAATGAACAGCCAAGTAAAAGATACACCAATAAAATCAGCTTTTGATGCAATATTCTACTTTTTTCCAAAGAACTAGCTCTCAATATTATTTCTTCTGCCAATCCTGTTCTGTCTTCATTCTGATGTTTAGCATCAGTCAACTCACTTTCTTAGTGCACTGGTTGTCTTGGACATGGCCCTGCCTGTGACTGGACAGTTAAAGGAGAAGCAGCACAGTGATGCACTCATCTCTCTGTCACTCTGATCTCTTCTTCTATTAGCATGCTTTTTGTAAGCATATGAAGTGATTGGCTCCTTGTACTGCGTCTTCCTCTTATACTCAAATCCCGCTGTACAGAGACAAGAGGCTGATATCAAGTCAAATTCAGGTACTTACATTGCTTGCACTAAAAAAAAATAAATAAATAAATGTAATGATGTGCTAATGTTTACAGGGTTGCACTCCTATCTTTAATATCTATCTACCTAGAGTTCAGGTTTGTCCCTTTTATGTTCTCTTTCGGAGAGACGGGGTAAATAGGAAAGGTGGTAGTGTCTGTCTATGTAAGAAAAGATTACCTAGTTGATGGAGAGTGTGATGAGGCTGAAGCATTATGGGTGGAAATGCACATGGGGTGCGTACTACAAAGGTAATCATTGGAGTTTGTTATAGGCCTCCCAGTGTTAATGAGGAGGTGGAAACTCAGCTCCTTGCACAGATCGAAAGAGCTGCAAGGGCTGGGACAGTGATAGTAATGGGGGATTTTAACTACCCGGAAATTGACTAGTGCAGGAACAGTTAAAGGGCAAACATTTTTAAACCTACTACAGGACAATTTTATGGTACAGTTCATAGAGGCCCCAACTAGGAATGATGCTCTGCTGGACCTGGTAATCTCAAACCATGCAGAGCTTATTACGAATGTCCATATAAAAGAACATCTGGGTAGCAGTGACCATAACTTGATTTCATTTATTGTTAGCTGTAAACAGCAAGCACATATGGGAAAAATAAAAATGCTCAATTTTAAGAGAGCTCATTTTCCAAGGTTGAGAGCTGCTCTCCAAGACTTAGACTGGGAGGGAATATTGGCATCAATGAACACAACACAGAAATGGGAGTTCTTCAAAAAGACTGTATGTGAACACACTGCAAAATATATTCCCATGGGCAACACGTTTAAAAGGCTAAAAATCAAACCTATGTGGTTTACGGCCAAAGTTAAAAAAGGTATAGATAATAAGAAAAGAGCTTTTATTAAATATAAAAATGAAGGAACGCTATCATCGTTTACACATTACAAAGAATATAACAGAATATGCAAAAAGGAAATAAAGGCAGCAAAAAATTAAAACGACTGACAGATTGAAAAAGATAGCAGGACCAACCCCAAAATATTCTTCAAATATATTAATAGTAGAAAGGTTCGGTCCCAGCATGTAGGCCCTTTACAAAATAATCTAGAGTGGGTGACTGGGCAAAGAGAAGGCAAATTTATTTAATACCTTCTTCAGCTCTGTGTATACAAAGGAGCATGGGGGAGCTCTTGTCTATAATGGGTACAGTATTGACACAGCTCCAGATGATCCACATTGGCTCACAATTGATATGATCCAAAAATA